TATCACTTCCTTATTTTATAAAAAGCTGAAGGTGGCATCCATGGTTTCTATCACCAGCAACACTTTAATTAACCAATACTTTTCTCAAGATTGCATTGAAGCCCTAGAGAGGCCCCACAGTAAGGGCCGCTCAGTATCTATGACTGCATTAGAGGGCCTCAAAAAAGGAGCAGATATGGTTGGGAGGTGGGTGAGAGTCCCCTCAAAACCGCCTCCAATGATCCTGTGCTGTTGTGGATTTCTTTATCAGTCCCCCCCTCCCCTGGCTTGGAATAAAAGAAAATAAAAGGGAAGATGGGCAGGAAGTGAGGACTCCCAGTATCTGAGGAGTAAAAAAACATGGTTGCTACAGTACAACTCCAGCTGTCCCAATTTTTGCTGCCAGTAGATGACTGTTGACTGAGAGAGGGGATGGACAGTCTGTTCATGTCCTGGGAACAGTGCAAGTATGTGTCTTCCTTTTCTCATATCTCTTTCTCCACAAGGTGAACTTCTAGATGGACAGAGAGGTCTGGTTCCATCCAATTTTGTGGATTTTGCGCAGGATGAGTCCCGTTTCTCAAGCGGGTTGGGCAGTGAGCAAGAGCAGAATTTCATCAACCACAGTAGTCACGTGGTGGAAGGAGAAGGCCTTCAGGATATCAACCTACCGGTCCAGTTAGAGTCTGGCATCCTCAATAATGGTGCAGGATCCCTGGATGTGAACATTGACGAAATTGGAGAAGACATTGTGCCTTACCCTAGAAAAATTACCCTTATCAAACAATTAGCCAAAAGTGTTATTGTGGGCTGGGAACCTCCAGTCGTGCCACCTGGATGGGGAACCATTCATAGCTACAATGTCCTGGTAGACAAGGAAATACGAATGAACGTCTCCTTGGGGAGCAGAACTAAAGCACTCATAGAAAAACTTAACATTGCTACTTGCACATATCGAATATCAGTTCAAAGTATAACCAGCAGGGGCAATTCCGATGAACTGCAGTGCACCTTGTTGGTTGGAAAGGATGTAATTGTGGCACCTTCCCTCCTTAAGGTCGACAATATCACCCAGATTTCGGCGGAGGTCAGCTGGCTTCCAACTAACAGCAATTACAGTCATGTGATCTTCCTCAATGAAGAAGAGTTCGACATTGTCAGGGCTGCCAGATATAAGTATCAGTTTTTTAACTTGAAACCCAATATGGCCTACAAGGTCAAAGTTTTGGCCAAGCCCCATCAGATGCCCTGGCAGCTCCCTTTGGAGCAACGTGAAAAAAAAGAAGCTTTCATAGAATTTTCGACCTTGCCAGCAGGTAGGGCTTTGGTCTCACGAAGTCCATTGTTGTCAGTTGTTAAGTATTATTTCTTGGAGAGCCCTGATCTGATTCTAACCAGTGAATTCAATTTCAATCATCAAGCCAGTTTGCTTGATGACTGTGTCTCCATCAGAGGTTCAGAAAGATGGAGAAGCTGTGAGTTGCCCCATCTGTGTCACTGAAGTGAATTGCTGGGTCAGCTAGGAGAAGCGAAAGGATTATCTTCTCTATGAAAGGTCTCACCGTGTGCTCCGTTTAGCCACAGGGTTGTCAAACGTTGAGAGACCTCATGAAATATACATGTCCTTAATAGTTGCATAACTATTTTTAGGCTAGTCTTCTATCTAGCACATTTCTATTTCCGGGCGATGGATTTAATTAGACATGTAGCAAGGGCACTCTCACAATGCAAGCTTTTCAAAAAGTTTGCAAAAGACTGGGATTCTTCTCACTAGATCAAGCTTGGGTTTGGGGGATGATCAATATTTTTAAATGTGGGGAGCTCCATCGTTTAGCTTAAGCAGCGCTTTATTTGCTCAGTCGATGGGTAGGAGAATTCTGGCTATGTTCTTCCAGAACCAAATGAGAAGGTACCAGAAGCATTCTCATAGCACATTCAGGCTTGGTTAGATGTTCTGTGGTTTTAGTAGTTTGTGTGAAGCCAGCCTCTGCTGTTAGCTGATTGGTCCAAGATATTACAGTGTCAATGTGGTGTACGGTTTACAGTGCTGGATTAGGATTTGTGGAATCCAGGGAAGAATGGATGTAGGAGAGGAAGCAGTGAGGTCAAGGTAAAGACCTAGAGGCATTTGTATCCCCCCGAATTTGGTTTGTTAGCAAGAAGAAGAAGAAGAAGAAGAAGCTATAAGGCACCCCTTGTGTTCAATTCCAGGTCCACCTGCTCCACCTCAAGACATACGAATTCAAGCTGGTCCAACACCAGGAACTATCTTGGTTTCTTGGAAGCCACCAGTTCTCACAGCAGCGGGGACCTCTAATGGAGCCAATGTGACTGGCTATGGTATTTATGCAAAAGGTCAAAGGGTAGGTGTATCTTTCCACTTAGAGAAAGTACATATACAACCCATGTTGGGTGAACCTGATTCAAGCTGTATCTGTCAGGTTCAGCCCAAGAATCACCACGAGACAGTCCAGAAATCAGCTCAGCTTCTTTATTAGCTTGCACCCAAGAGACAGAATCTCGCCAGACTAACTCTAATCCCCCAATGACAGCAACTATAACCATCATGCCCTTAGGGAAGGGCCAGTCTCTTTCTCTTGACTTTCCCACAGTCCATCTGGGGGTTGAGGAGATGCTTTTCTTGGAATGTCTCTCCCCCTTCCCTGTAACCTTGAAGCTCCATTCCACAATCCTCCCTTCTCATGCCTTCCATCACAGTATCTCACATTATTGTTATTGTTTTTAATAATCTAAGGACTGTAACTAGCTAAAGGTACTCAGCATTATCTTAAAAAGAGGCATTCATTCCAAAGTGAGATAGAAATGGGAACGTATTGTCCAATTCTGGCACACTTGGACATTTTTGGAAAGCAAAGGAACCTTTGCTTTAATTTAATTAATTAATCAATCAATCAATCAATGAAGAGATTAACTGGCAAATTTGGGCTAGGGATTGCCGAGGGCTTCTTTGACTGGGGAGCCTCAGTTTAATCTCCTGCCTGTTTTTCCAGATGTGCTGGTCTTGCTTTGTGCCTTCTCGCTTTGCGTTATCACTCAGGTGGCAACAGTTCAGCTTCTTAATGCCATCCTCAAGTTAGAAGAGATGAAGGGAGCTCTTGGCGTCAACTCCCTGCTCAGTGCTGAGAAATGGCTGGCTGGCTGCTGATTGCACATCTTAATGGGCTTTAACACCTCGCTAAGTAATTGGTTCCACTGTTGAGTGGCTGTTACTATCAGGACATTTCTCCTAATGTTCAGCTGGAATCCCCCTTGCTGTAACTTAGGACACATTGCTCTCTGGGACATGTTGCTCATTGGGACAATGATGTCCTTCTGCAGGATACCACTTTGGGTACTTCAAAAGTGCCATTGTATCCCAGGGCCTCCATCTCTCCTTGTAAAATTTGGCTTCCAAGGATCACTTGATTTCCCTAATTGCCCTTCTCTGTATCTGTTCCAGTTTCTCTGAATTTCTCTTAAAACGTGTGGGAGATTGTGGGGAAACCTGGGAAAGGAATGGATGATAACTGTAAAGGAATTTAGAGATGACCTTGGAGAAGATCTGAGAGAACCGTTGGGTGTTGGTGGAGGACATGAAAGAGGGAAGCATGAGAAAGAAACTCAAGATAATCCTGCCTTGATTTTGTTTAGTATAAGATGGAGCAAAGAGAAACTTGGACAGGCTTTCAAGATTCTGTTATTATACCTCAATATAATAAAGTAGCATTCCTGGAATCTCTATGGTGTATGTTTCTTGACCTGGCCACTTGAACGGCTGACATCAATGAAAATCTCTGTGTGAAATCTGTGAAATCTCTTCTCCCAGTTTCTCCTTAACAGCTTGCTCCTTCTTTCCTCCCTTAGTGTCTCTCTCAGACCTTCCCCAAGGTGAGCAATACTTTTTGTACAATAAATGATTAAAAGACAACAAGGAAGTCAACTGGCAGCTTATCTCATAAATGCCACCTTAGCCCCCATGGAGAGAAATCTGGGGAAAAGTCATTCTAAAGGAGGCAGCGACATTCCTCTTATAGTTTCCAAGATTCTATAGTTACCCAAGACTAGCAATAAAGCTACCTTCCTCAACGGAATGCTCAGAATTGGATTCAGTACTTGAAATGGGGTCAGATCATGGCCAGAGATGGTGGAATCATGAGTTCCTTTGATTAAGAAATGGCATTTCGACGATGTAAACTAAAATTGCACAGTTCGTTTGCCTTGTGAAGTTATATCAACCTGCTGACTCATATTCAGCTGGTGAGCAAATGCCATTCTCATTAGTATTCCTATGTATTTGCATCTGTCTCTGTGTTCAGGTGGCCGAAGTGATTTTTCCAACTGCAGAAAACACAACTGTGGCACTCACAAAAATCCAGAACCTGAATGCCAGGGAAGTTCTTGTCCGGACACTGTCTGTCCAAGGAGAGTCCATGGACTCGTTGAGTGCTGCTATCCCACCTGACCTACTGGTGCCTCCAACCCCTCACCCTCAGCCAGCTCCCAAATCTAAGCCATTATCAAGTGCCAGTACCCCAGATACCAAAGACGAACATTTGTGTCCACACGGAAAAAGGGACGAATCGTGGGAACAGGCCCGTGCGACCTCTCCTATCCATGGGCACTCCTTGGAACCTCCCAACTTCCACAGCCCACTCCATGGGCGGCGGTCACCATCTCCAAATCGGATCCTTCCACAGCCACAAGGCACACCTGTCCCTAACACAGTAGCCAAGGCCATGGCCCGAGAAGCTGCTCAACGGGTGGCCGCCGAAGGCAACATGGTGAGTACAGTCGTGGCTTCAGACCTGCAAGTCAACTTCAGGCCGGCTTGCATAGGTGTGTTCTTCATTCTCTGGAAGAGTTTCAAGGGCCAGTTTGCATGTGGGAATCTCCCTCTACAGGCCAGGACTTCACATGCAGCGGAATAAAGTGGAAGAGTCCTAAAATGATTGGAAGGACCTACCTCTTGGCGGGAGCTGGTGGCAGCTAATGATTGGGTTTCCCTTTACACACACACACACACATCTGGAGAGAGCTGGGGGGAGAATGTTAGAATCCAACTATGAAAGTGGTAAAAATCTGGAGGCCTGGGGTTTTCGTTTTGGTTCTTTCTGTTGTCTCTTAAGGGACTCTACGCCAACAGGTTAAGAAAAGAAGCCGCAAGAAGTCATTTTCAAAAACTTGGGGGCTGCCTAAGGGGGTGACTCTGCTGTCTTTTTAGCCAGAGAAATGTCGAGTTAGACAGACCTCCCCTTGGCATTATTCTAGTCTGTCATTCAGCATTTCCAGAGTGGGCAGAAATAAAGGAACCTTCTACAAGTGTCTTGGGGAGCGTCATTAGGTTTAGTCTAGAGCGTTGTTGCTTTTTTAATGCTAAGTTATTGGAGATCCTGCAGGGACTGCCCTTGTATTAAAAGTCAGAGTTTTTTTTTTTCATAACACAAATATCGGCTCCAATAGAAGAGAATATCTGTAGCTCAGGGTTGAACTGTGGAGTCCTTGGTGCTCTCTGAGCTTGGTGGTTGGCTTGGGGACGTTTCTTGACCCAACTCAGTAACATCATCAGTGCTAATGAGCGTGGGGTTTTCTCCCTGCTTATCTGCAGTAGCTTCCCTGGCAGTGTTGGTAGAGATGTGGTTTTCTCCTTGGTGGTTCCTTAATTAGAGCATTGATTTCTGCCTGATTGTTTGTCTGGTGTTGATCCCTGCTTATCTGAACGTTGGCTGCTGGAGGGGGTGTGTTCTAGACTTTTTGTTTCCTTCCTAGGTTTTTTATTGCCTTTTTTCAATGTGGTTTGTCTCTATGGGTCTCTTGATGGCTGATTTGTCTGAATGCCAAGCTTCCAAGAATTCCCTAGCGTTTTTGGATTTGGCTTGGTCTTAGATGCTCACCGCTTCCCAGTTGAAACTGAGGTTGAGTCTGTCCATGTGGTTTCATCCTGTTTGGGAGGATTTGGGGAGGTGGTAAGGGAGACAATGGTAGTGACTTGCCTCTGGTTGGGTTCCTGCTCCCACCCCTTTTCTTAAGTCCACCCCAGAGGGGCAAAACATGAATCCAAACATTTTATCACAGCATCACCATCTGACCTCCAACTTCTCTTTAGAAAGCTGCAGATCCCACCCTCTCCAATTCTACCCACTCTCACCCTACAGAGAAGCCTTCTTCTCATTCCATTTTCTGTTCTGGAACTCCATAGCTGGAGAGGAGGGGCACATTTCCAGAAAGGAGCAACGCGTTGCAGTACGCCAACTCGGACGAGGAAGAGGATGGCTACGACTCACCCCGGGTCAAACGGAGAGGTGCTTCAGTGGATGAGTTTTTGAAAGGCTCTGAGCTGGGGAAACAGGTAATCTTCTTGGCATTGGAGCAGTAGCAAAATTGTCGTGCAAAGAAAGATGCTTTGGGGGTTTTCCTTTTCTTTCCTCTTTAACCCTTTTTGAAGAAAGAGAGATTAGCTTTATCTGATGGTGCGATCGATCTATAGCTGATGCCTAGAAATCTAGACCATCAGCATCTTCAGACACCCATAGTTTACCCATGGAAGTCAGTAACGGTGATGACTTCCTTATCTACTACCATTTAGAAGCCCCATTCTTGAAAGTCTTTAAAAAATCTGGAGGTTGATCTGGAAGTAGAACCTGATAGATCTCACTGGAAGATTTAGTGGTAAATCATTTGTCCGAAGTCTAGCTGAGCAAGTCATCAAGAACCGAAGATCATCAATCATTCACACTTTAGTTGGGTCGTGCCTGTGGTCCTAGTGGTGGGGCTGAGGCTGTGGGGAGCTCCCTCACCAACTTTAGGGTTTGTTGGGCTCAATTTTCATGTTGAAAGCCTATCTTGCTTTGCCCCTCTTTCTCCCTTTCCCCCTCCTCTCTCCCACAGCCCCACTATTGCCATGGGGAGGAATATCACACGGAAAGCAGCCGGGGCTCTGATCTGTCTGACATCATGGAAGAAGATGAGGAAGAATTGTACTCAGAGATGCAACTGGAGGATGGTGGGCGGAGACGAGTTAGTATAACGTCGCATAACACCCTGAAGGTAAAAAGAAGCAACAAAATAAGCAAATCTGTATCATGAAAGCTATGCGAGGGGTGGAAGAGAGAGAGGAAGAAACTGTTGGGTGAGTGGAGTGGTAATTTGGGGTAATCCTCTTTATCAAAGGATATATCAGAGTATAGATAAGCAATGGATGGCCCTGGAGAGATTTTTGGAGTGTTAAAGAGACAGAGGAACAATTCATATAGCTGTCTCTAGGCTTGGATTTTGCCAATGTTTTCTGTACCATCAGCATCTTCTTCAAACCTCTATGAACTTTCCTGGGGAACCTAGGTGTTGTATGCCTTTTAGTATATAAAGTATGGTGTGCTATCCTTCAAAGCTGAGGTCTCTCAGGGTGGCCTGCCGCTCTCCCCAAAGTTGCAGTTCAAATTTTGAAAAATGAAAACAGAGGTGAAAAATACAGTACAGAAACAATACAAGCACAGAAGGTGACTTGGTTTTCAAGCACTGGGGCAGCAGAAATCTTATATGTGAATGTTTTGAAAGACCTGGGAGAATAAAGACATTGTGGCGTTGGGCCAGGAAGATAGTAACCATCGGCAATATGTGTGGGTAATGGGTAACGTTCATAATTCAACCCCAAATGTCTCAAGAAGGAAATCTATAGGGATGCACAAGATCTATCAGTCGGGGAAGGAAATACTCCCGATAATTCAAATGTTCTGCTTTCCATGCCTGACTTCTGCCTGAACCATGTTCAGTAGTTTCCAGAACTCAACCTTCTAAACTGGAAGCAGTTTCAGATGTTCTGGACTAAACAAGCATTTAGGGTGGCAGACCAGCCATAGACCACCTCAAATGATTTCCTAGGTTCACAAGGTTGGAAGGAATGTCCCAAGAAACTTTTTCTTCCATCAATTGACCTTTAAAGTAAAAGAAAAATCAGGCAAGGAGTAGAAATCTTACACTGAATCCGTCCATCGAATGGAAAGTCAAGCTTATAAAAAGAGGTGTTCTGAAAATAAAGGAAAAAAACGTCAACCTTGGAATGACTTGTGTCACCAAATCTCCTGCCTTTTTAACCATAACCTCTCCATCCACCAGTAGGTATCAAGTATTTATTTATTTTTTTCCTTTCAAAAGTAGGCGACATCGTTTTAATCTGGCAAGGCGCTTCAGTAAAACGTGGGATTCTTTTTAAGGAGTTGCAAGGCTAACAGGTCAAAAGACAATTCCTCCAATGGGATCTGAGCATTTCTGGTGCATCTGGGGTGGGTTCCCCACCCAACCACCATTGGAGGAGAAGGAAGACCTTCAGAGAGCCACCCTGCCTAAGGTGGGGGGGAACCCTCATTCTTTAAATAAATAGCGAAGAGATTTGGTACTGAACCCAGATAGAGATGCTGCCATTGAGGGAGAGAAGGGATGACCTCCACTGATGCCCTGTTCTGACATAAAATTCCCTATGTGGTGTCAACCACCCATGTTCCATGTGCCTGGTGGGATTCTTCTTAGAAACATACCTGCTAAACCGGACATCTCACACAATATACCACGCTAAGACAGCTGTTCTAATCATGTTTTATTTTCACAGATTCCCATTCAAAGCATGACATAGTTCTCCACTAAATAAGAGCTGCATGTTTTCTGCTCACCATTGCTGTACAACTAATTCTGTCTTTATTTTTTTCCTTTCCTTTCCCTTTCTCTCTCTCTCTTTTTTAAATTACACACTGTTTGTTCTCCTTGCCTGTTCGTTCGTTCTTTCTTTCTTTCCTTCTTTCTTTCAACCGGTTACTCTTAAAGGAATGCTATCAGAATAAAACCACTGAAACAGCTTTCTTGGAGCATACCAATTTTGCCCACCGCAGTAAAAAACTTTTCAGTATCCCTGAAGTAGCCGAAGAGGATGGCGATTATTCTGAACTTTTGTACAAGCAGGGCATAGGGAGGCCCCACCAAATCCGAAGCACAATAGCTAGAGAGGGTAGATTAATCAAGACGTACCATCAGGAGCATCCCGCTAAGCCACGGATTTTGGAGGACGCCGATGAGCGAGGCTGCAGATCTGGCAGGTCTTCCACCCGGAGCCCCGATAGTGGCTTGGACTGTGGCAGTGAAGAAGAAGAGTCCCGCTTTACCTTCCCCCAAATGCACGAGACCCTCACTGCCCGTATGGCCCCGGCCGGTTGTCTGGATGATGAGAGCTGTTCATCATCCTCACGGCCACTGCTGGCCCGCCGGAGGACCCTGATCCGGCAGAGTAGCATTGAAGAAGACTTTGGAGACCCTGTCTGGCCAGTTCTGGAGTCCCCCAGCCCAGAGGGCAAGCCAGTTTGTTACGAGAGGAAGCACGATTCTCAGAGATGTAGTAGGGCAGAACATTTGACCCATGGAGATATTCAGGGAGGCTGGAGTAGCCCCTTGAAAGAGAATGAAACAAGGCTAACTTCTCTTCCACATTCAAGGGATCCTTACAGAAGGTCTGAAGGCCCACTGGTGTGTTGGAATCTGAACTTTCTTCTAACATCTGCTTGCCAAATCACTCCCTTTTTTTTTTTTTTTAATCTTCTTTATTTCTATCTTTCAGTTTGGGTTCTTTCTCCCCACGGCCCATCATCCATGTCCCCTTGGTCTTCCTTTTCTTTTCCATTCCTTATTCCTCACCCCCAATAATTCGTTTTCCATCTTAATCTGTGTTGCTTCATAAGCTTCCTAACACTTCCCATTGGTTTCGCTTTCTTTTTAATTTTGTGCCATGCTTAAAAAAAAAAAGTGATTAATTTGCTTGTTGGTCAATTATTATTTCATTGTTCCCTGCAGGCCACAAATAAATACATAAATAAAAAAAAAAATAAAAAACTGGCTTCCTCCCCTTCCTCTCTTTAAAAGGACAACTGAAACAATGTTTTAATTAAGGGTTAGCTGAACTGCCATTGTCTTAACATTTGGGATTGCTCTTTAATTTTATTTCTTTCCCCCCCCCTCTCTATTTTTGTGCTTTCAAGTTTGATCTTGCTTCTTAGAATAGAACCATATATAATTTGATGCATACCTTAAACCACAACAAAAATACACACAGCCAAACAATGAATGCATTCATCCCCCTCCTTCTTCCTTTAAATGCCTGCTTTGAATAGTTCATCTTCTTTTATTTTATTTTATTTTATTTTATTTTATTTTATTTTATTTCTCTCATTCCCAGATTTTCAAGGATGAACATTCTCTCCAATCCTTGGCAAATGCCAAGAAGAAAAAAACAAACAAACCCTATTCTTCTTTTTCCCCTGCGCTGTTCTGTAGTGGACCATACACTTCTTTATATTTCTACTTCGTTTTTCCACTCCTGCTTGTTTTTTCTTTTCTTTTTCAGAAAATCAGAAATCATCTCTTCTTGCCTTTGAAGTTGCAAACTGCATCTCTCAGCATGCAGGAAGACCACCGCCCCACTTTCCAGTTTGTAGCCTCTCGCTCAGACTCTTAGGCGATGGTCAGACTGGAATCCTTGGGGCGCAGTGGGTGTTGTGTCTCATTTAAGGAACGTGCTTTCCCTGCAATATATCCCGACTGTGGTTTGCTCCCAGTTTAGGAGTGCCACAAGCTAGAGACTATTCCAACTTCCTGCTCTGCATGATAGGAAATCCAGCACTCCATATTGCTGAATCCATTTCCTTCTCAGTGAATGCTTTCTTCTCCCTTCCTCTTCTTTTCAAAATTGCCGATCGACAAAATCGATGCCACGTTGCTTCATTTTCCCCACCTCTCCCATCGATGGTTGGTTATTGCAAAGCCCGTCTCCTGAAGGCCCTCAAGAGAATTTGGAAGGACTCTTTTAACAGCTTTTTAAAAGTTGAGAAGAAGGCAGGAAGTAACAGATAGAGGAAAGACGTGGTAGGTGAAGGATGGCAATCATTCTGCAAATGGGACAGGCTTACTGTCTGAAAACCCAATAAATATACCAGCTCATTCAGATTTCATAGTTCCAAGGAGCAGCTGCGTTCTTCACAAACAGGAGGCAAAAAGAGTGGGAAGCCCATTTAGAGGCAACAGCAAAGGCAAAAGAATACCTTAATTCTCTTTTTTGTTTGAATGTGTGACTGTTGTTCGCCAAGTACATGCCATGTCAGGATGGCAACTTTTCCGTCTCTCTGTCTGTCTGTCTCTCTCTCTCTCTCTGCGATTTTCTTTCTCAGGTTTAATGGCATCTGTTCTTCCTTTCTTCCTTCCTTCCTTTCTTTTCAGCTAACCTTTCAGTTAAAAAAAAAAAGTTTAGTTGCCTTTCGAATGTATCCTTTTGGAGAATGATGAATTTGATTTTCTTCCATGCAATTTTGTCTTCTCGTTGCTTTTCACACCTTCCACTGGGCAGCTGGGTAGCTTTCAAACATCTTTCTCTTTTTTCCCCCCTCCTCCTCTTTTATTTTCTGTTGGTTTGGAACTTAAGCTCTTAGGTAACCCAACATCCTCCAGGCGGCCGGACCGAGGGGAGCATCTAGGTCCAAGATTACCTCGTGGCAGCTCAAGTTCACGAAGGTCACATCCCATTCTGGTCCCTCCTATTGGTGAGTTGGCTTGTATGATCCCTATGTATGGTTGGTTGAGGGTTACCAAGTTCAGAGGAGAAGGCTAATCTTTCACACCTCTTTTGATGCAATGCAAGGGAACACTCAAGGCCCTCCTTGAGAGTTAATTGCAAATGGCACCATGACACAGTGGGGTTCAGAAGGCAGTTGGTGACATCCTATCACAAACTGTCCCATATTGGAATGGGAGACAAGGGAATATGGTATTTAATCCTTTCCTACAAGGGGTAGAGCCACAAGAATGAATACTTTCTATCTGCATTTCCATGCTGGTTAGAAGAGTGGAGCACTCTTGTGCGTTGGTTTCAGGAGAGGTTTTTCACTCATTAAACACACACACACAACCGTGTTGTGCCTCTGTGAAGGGTGGCCCTGACACATTGCAACCTGGAAAACCAACGTGCTGAATGGGAGGTTGATTGCTCCAGAGGGCCCAACCATACTGGAAACTCTCTTAGTTTGCTCTTCACTGTTGCATGAAGGACCCTGCCGTTTAAATAGTGTTGGGGGGCCCTGTACTACTTACAACCAAGAGCTTTGAGTGGGCTCATGGTGCATGTTCTAAAACAGCCTTCCTACACCTGGTCCTTTTCTGCTTCTTAGATTGGTGAACCACACGTTATGGCTATAATATTCTCAGGAGGATTCTGCCAAATTCCCGTGCTATGTAGTATTTGTGGGTTTGAAGGGATGGGCAGAAAAGGGAGGGCAGTTGCCTCATTTTGATGATATGGGAGTGTCTTTTTAGAGTGTGCAAACAGAGAAATGTTCCATCAGTTTAACAGAGGAAGGCCTTCGCCCTGATCTTCTTAATACCTCTGGGAGTTGTTTCCAGTTGTGGCCGCTTCTCCTTCAAAAACTTGACATGTTCTATTTTGTCTTGGTTGAAAGGAAGCATCATTTTCCATTTCTTTTTTGGGGGGTGGAGGGTGGGAATCTACCAGAGTGGCATTTTTAGAGGCATGTCTAAAAATGTCTTTGGCTGCCTGTGCAGGAATGGAAATGATCTGGAAAATGCAGGTTTTAAAGAAAGATTTACTGGCAAATGTTCCCGAATACATACATGCAGAATACATTTCTGAACAAATGCAGCAGAGGTGGGCAGCCTTTTGATAGCTTAATTTCCTTTTCAAATTCCATTTTTATTTGGGGGAGGAGGAGATAACGATTGCATGGAAGGCAGCAAACTGAAATTGCTGCATGTGATCAACTTTTATAGTTTTATTTACACAGGACTTGCAAACGGTTAGCGCTCCCAATTTGAGCGAGCGCGTTGACTTATTTAACCCTTGCTTACATCAAGGGACAGCTGACCCTTCTCCTTCGTGCAAAGTCTCCTAATTGGAAATGGCTTTAAAGAATAAATGTTAAACCCTCACGAAGTCCACACCTTTCTTGGTGCATGATTCAAGTAGCCTATTTATTTTTAATGGTTCTGTGGAGGGCAAATCCGACACGGAATTTGGTTGGGGTGGACGAGTGACAATTTCGTTCGCTCCTTGTTAAAAGAAATAACCGACATTTACAAATAGGTCTGAACACAGGACAAATGCAACTTGAGGTTTAAAGGAAAACAAGAGATACATAAAGGCACACCTGATTGCAGGTGAATGTGCAACTGTTATTATTATAAGTCAGCCAGATATTTAGACTGGATTTGGCATTTTTACCCACCTATTGAGTCCTTCCCAAGGACCTGAGATAGGCAGATTTTGTTGCTTGATGATGTTAAAAGTATTACTACTACTACTACTACTACTACAGTTTTGCCATTTG